CTCCATTTCTTTCATCTTCTAATGTACCACTGGATGACTTCCACTTAGTGACTTCCCTGACACTGGAACCTGATTTACAGATTTTCATATAAGTGTGTAATCATTCATGGCCTGATGCTATGAAAACATGGAAGAAAATGCACTGCTCTGACCACATTGGGAGAACTAAAAGGCATTGCCCCCATAAACAGTGCTACCCCATGGTCCAAGTTGTCAACCCTTTGATTTTTTGAAGAAAACTCATCAGCCCTGTGAAAGGCAGTGGCTGTCTGAAAGCTTGCAGGAATTCAGTACAGTCTCTTCCCCTGCAGTACTCCCACAGAGTCCACGAGGATGCCTTTCACAAGGGGACACATTGCTTATCATTTGTGTAGCTCTTTAAATACTTATTCTCTTTTATTCTCAAATAATATGTACAAATAATATCCTACAGCACAGTTCAAGGTGCCTTGCTTGATTCTGTCTTTTGTATGTTTTTGCTTGTATTGTCTGCAGTGCTTATATTGCCTACCATACAATGGGCTCACTTTGTAGATTTTCTCTAACTTGGAGGTATTTTAATATGGTAACTTGGAAATATCAATTAGTGTCCTGTCTTTTTAAAAGGTTTTTCCTATTTAGCAGGGTTAATTATAAGCTTTGAAAAATCCAAGAACTTAGAGGTTGAAATGAGTCAGTTTTGACTGAGTGCTGTGAGAAAACTACTTAAAAGGAAGAGTGGGAAAAGATACACTGTGCAAACAGAAACATTTGTTGAGAACAGGAACTTAATTTCAAATTCACAAAATAAGTTTCCTAACCACTACACTATGGAGGCAAACAGAGTGTCTACAAAACACACCTTTTATCTTCCATCTTTCATCGTGACTCAGAAATACTCAGTTGCTCAGATAAAAGCAGAAGCAAACGAGGAGATGAAATGGAGAAGGCAATCACACAGAACATGGGTGCTCACACTCCACTGAAGCTCACACAATGACTAAGGTTAGCTAAACCAACAAGGCTCACAGGCTTCTTTGCAAACATGTAAACCTGCATAAGATGCAAGGCATTGGAGACTTAGATTCCTGACTTCTAAAACTAACTTAGCTTGTCAGAATAGAAAACAAAATAACATAAAAACACCAACACCCTTACCTGACAAGATTAAAAGAGTCATGAAAATGTTTTGGAGAAGGGATAAAGCAGTTCCTCATAAGAAACTTGAAGTAGTAGATCTTATGGTGCTATAGGTCAGTCAAACACTGTGATGTGAGCAAGGTCTTTACTGTTTGAAACAAACTTAAGAAGAAACCTGCCTTTGTTCATGATAAGAGCATTCTGAATCTTACTTTAGTTATCTCCTTTTACACTGCTTCTCTGACCTGAGTACTCCACTGGCTTTGCTTTTAAAATTGAACAAAGTAAGACAATGACTAAAGAAACAAAAGTTTTATTTTATGTTGTACGATTTCCATTTTCTGATATGTTTAGAACATGCTCAGATGAATAAAGAAAGGGTTTGATAATAAGTTTTTTGAGGATTTTTAACTAATGTAAGTGGATCAAGTTCTTTTCCTGAAAAGTCTTTATCAGCTGGAAATGAAGAAGGTAGATCTGCTGGGATTCTCATCCATGTAAGATTTTTCAAGACTTGCATATGAACAATATGAGACAAAGGCAGAAGACCAGAAACTGCATAGTGTGGAAGATGGTGTATCTGCTTATGAATTTTCTGGAGGCACAAGAGGATTTCATTTTGATACCTTACAGGTTCTAGTACACTTGTCTGTTTTCTCGGCAGATTTGGGAATGCTTGGTATCTCTGCATTTTTAAGAGAGCAGCCAAAAAACTTGGCTTTTTTAGCCTGAAGAAGTTCTTCAGATTTTTTCAGTACTGTAAGCTTCACCATTTATTTATTTATTTATTTATTTATTTATTTATTTATTTGAACAATCACTTTTAACTGGTAGCTCTTACTTTAGCCTGTCTTGAAAATCCCAGTATCAATGACACTTGTACTCCTGGTGAACTACATGAAAAAATATAATTGAGCAAATTCCCAGGGAAAAGGCATAAAATTAAATCAAATAATATGCTAACAATTTAACAATACTAGATTAAAATATTTTGAAGGCTTGATATTACAAAGTATCTAATATTCTTATTATGTTGATAGCCCCAAAAATGAGTCAAAGAAGATGGCATGATGATGCATGTTATAAAATAATAAAAGATGCTGAAACCTGTCAACTCTCTCCATTCAGTCAGACAAAATCCTCTGGGAATTTCAGTCAGAGGCTGAATGAAAATATTTATGATGAAGAAAGGTTGTGAAGAGTTGGCTCTATGTTGAGAGGATGGATAGGAAACAATAACTGAACTGGAAATGAAGACTCCAGAATCCAAGTTAAAGTTCCTTCTGTTAAAGTCAGCAAGGACATGTTTTTATATCTCTGATTTTTTTTGTTAAGTTCAATTCAAATATTTATATCTATATCTATATCCATATCTATTAAACAAAGTAAAATATGTTTTCATATTTTTGAGGTATGATTAGCATAACTGAGGCTAGTCTATAAAATACTGTATATAAAAACTATCTACTATAATTAAAGTTCTATCTATGTGTCAGCAAAATACTCAATCATAATTAAAACCAAGGAAGATTCTCATTTTTCCTTTGCAAAACAATGACTCACTGTGAAAGAACATTTCGTTTGTCCAATTAATTGCTGGTCATTCACACTGTCATGAAATCTTAAAGCTGGCACAAAGGGTTTGAAATTGAGTTTGGCTGCATGAGCTAACAATTAAATGAAGCAGTTAGAATGCAGTTCTAAATGAATTTTAGAAGCAGTTAGAGCAAGCCTGTGGAAAACAGAGGAAACCTGAACCTGGCAGCAGAGTTGCCTGTTGTAATGCCAGAGCAGCAGGCTCAGAGGTGGGGTGGGCTGTGGCTAGCAAGAATGAGACAAATATTATCACAGAGAGCATATGCAAAGAGGATGTTTTTTAAAATTCAATAAAAATAAACAGATGAAGACAGTATCTGCTGGAAGGCAGGATAATGACATGGAAGAGAGGGAAAAGAAAGATGACACCATCTGGAACATACTCAGTTTTTGCAGAATAGTAATAGGAGTCTCTGGTCTCTCTGTTATTACACTTCAATCCTTCCCTCCCTTGTTTAGGCACAACCATCTTCTATTGAAACCTGACCAGAAACACAAAGGAAATGAACCTTCCTATATTCCTAGCACAGGAGAAGATTCTGCATTAAAGTCCTACTGCCACCTGCTTATCTGAACATGCAAAGCAAGTCCTCCATGGCAAGCCAGGCTCTAAACATTTTTCAGATAATAAGATTTTCTTCAGTTACTGAGGAATAAGAGGGACTTCAAAGTGAGAACAGATGAGAAATTGAGCAGTCCCATGTCAGCAGAATACTCCCCACAAGCCCATAATCCCTAAAACTGGTGAGTGCTGCTCCAGGTTACAGGCAATAACATGTATCATTTCCTACAGCACAAAGATTTTGATTTCAAAAAAGAAACAAAACCAGAAATACAAATGTTTCTTCACAAAAGAACTTGGTTGATTTTGACACTCGGAACATATTCAGCCTCTGAGTACTCTGCTCTAAATTAAGTATCTCAATCTAATCTGCCTCCTCCCCCCACTACACCTGAAGAACCTTAAAGGGAGGCATACAACACAAAAATACAGCAATTTCTTCTTTTTGGATGAAAATACTGAAAGTCAGATACTACTGCAATAGATCCAGGCCACCACCAATGTATGAATAAACCCTTTCAACAGTGGTTCCTCTAACAGGAAGCCTTGTGCTTCCTGCAATGCTGACAAAGACTGTAAGAAACAGCTACCAGGTAAAACTGGACAAAAAAAAAAAAAACAAATTGATGAAAGTGTTTTCAGTTGGAAAATAAAACCGGTCTAAATGTTTCATAAGATGATGTTGGAGGCCAAAGGCCTCAAAATAATTTTCTTTAAGCAATTAGTAGAAGGGAAAATCTTTCTTAGTCTATCTCATGGACAAAAACTCTAGCTCAACATGTCAAACTGTGACTAACACCGGAAATCAGAGAAAAACAGTTGCATGATCCATCTGCTGACTTTTCCAGTCAACTAACAAATCACATTACTTATTGAAATGGCATATAAAAACTGATATGGTCTTTGATTACAGTCTTTTATATATTATACATACTTTCCTTGTTTGCCATTAACCCGGTTGTGAATGGTATTCATAGAGAAAGATTTTAAAAAAGACTGAAAGAAGAGGAATCAAACAAAGCATTCCCATGGCATTTGCTGTAGGAGAAACAGTTGTTGCTTCCTAATACTTCAAGATCCATAAAAGTAAGATGCTTTTTGACCTTAATTATTCAGATATCTTGATCTTATTGTATCTTCTTAGTAAAGCCATAGTTTCAGTTGTGCACATAGATGACCAAGATTAGGGCAGGTCTTCAGAAAGCTGAACTTGCTAGAGAAGTTAAAAAAAATGGATTTCTAAAAGCCCCCTGCAGGCTCAGCTGTTGCCTTCTGTGACATGTGCAGTAGGCTTACTCTCATCAGTCACCTAAAATACAGGCATGTCTTAGCCTGTGACACAAGTGCTCCCCTCCAGCCAAAACATGAAAATGGTCACATCCCGGTTGCAGTTCACCCTCTCCCTCCTAAAAGAGGGATCCTGGAAATGCTGTTCCTTCCACTAGCTAGAGACAGAGTCCAGAAACAGAATAATGACTCAAAGTGGGGGGAATGGACACCACCTAAAATCCCCAAACTAGAGTGCTTCAAAAGCTCCACTCTGCTGTGTGGGTGCTCACCCAGGAGCAGAGCTCCTCCAGAAGCCACTTCCCAGCAGCACTGACAGCCATGAAAATGCTTGGTAGGGTCTCTGATATGTGTGGAGTTCTGTGCCAGTCTTTACCAGCATTAATGACAGACAACACCAGTTTCTTAGGTAATTTTCTGGGGCCATCCTACTTACTGTTATGACATGGTTGACTGTCGGTAAGGGGCTGCCCTTGGGGGAAGCTTCAGTAGAACCAGCATCAGGGGCAGCAGGCTCTGAAACAAAGGTTGCCTTTAAAAGAAAACACCAGAAATATATTTTTATTCAGAATGCTGTTTAAGAAGAGGAGTTCCCCTCCCTCTCAAGTTAGTGTACAAACACCTGGCCCTATTGTTACGTGTGGTTGTAAAACAAAAGCAAATAAAATTGCAATTCTTGCTGTTTCCCATTTTCGGTGAATTTTATATTTGAACTGTTGAAAATATCAGTTCAAGAATAAGAAGTTGTAACACATAGTGTCAAGAGAAAAATGTTATTTTGTACACAGCTTAGTCCTGTGGTCAAAACAGCTATTTCTACAGCACACCTCATTAATTCCTTCTCGTCACACACACATTCAAAAAGCAGAGAGTTGTTTTCTATATTCTTTAAACAGATGAATGATTCTGCCATCTTGTGGGAGAAGGAGAAATCCTAACTATTTGTACAATAACAGCAGGGCAGAACAGGATGTAACAGAAACAACTTCTTTTTCACTTGTTTCACTATTGATTAAGTGAACAGACATTAACACCTAGTATATTCCAAATACTCCCCCAAATAAATAATTAATTATAGTCTCATGGAGGAAGCTGAGCAATAGGGTTGACTTTTAAGACACTAACTTGACCAGAAAAATCTGCTCAGAAGGTAAAGGTACAGCAACTAAAAATCCTGAGGTTTTTTCCCCAATGATCTCATAATGTGAAATATGTAGAGAATTATTTACATTCTCTCCCATTTATTACAATACCTTTCATAAAAGAGAAATATGTAAAATTAACACATTTTTATCTACAATTAACCTTTTAATAACTGTCAAACTAACACAGTATTTACATATTATGGAACACCACTCTCTATTAATAATTCCATACCATAGTTTTATAAAATTAGTAGATTAATTTATCATTAAAGTCTTTGGCTGGTACAGGTTGTATCATTATTCCTGACAATTTAATAGACATACAATATTGCTTGCCCTATCCCACCTTAATTCAGCATGGACCATGTTGGAGTAAAAGCTATTAATTTAACCAAGTATAAATGAAAGTTTAAGAGAACAAGAGCTGAAAGAAATATGGACCAGTTTCACCTCAAAATAATTTTGTAGAGGCTCTCTTCCTACTCCAAAATTCCCAGTACGTAGAAACCAAACAGTACATCTAAAGTGTGTAACACAAAACGGTATGTGACCATTTTTTTCCCATTGTTCTTGGGAAATTCTGAAGCTCAAGAAAGTGGCTTCTGCTAAGAAGGATGAGGCTTGAGGTGGAGCAGCCCAAGAGACACATTTATCCCTTGGCACTTGGCACTGTAAGCCTCTATCAGGGGAGTTATTTTGAGCTTTTCTCTTCCTACCAAAAATCACCTTGGGGAAACAAGCTCATTTAGTTTATATTTCTTTGTTAAAATTGCAATGAACTCATCTAGTAAATCTAATACCATGTCACAAGGAAGTGTCTTGGATCAAGTACAACTGCATTTATGCTTACATAACAACTTACTAAGACCTTTGTAAATCATTCATTTAAGTGAATAGTATTTTGTTAAGCACTTTGAACATAAAGATCTGACAACCAGAACATAAGAAGGAATACAACAATTTAATGTTATTATCATTTCTTCATAATGGCAAGTATCTAAAAAGCTGAGGCAAGCCTAGGTCTGGATCTCAAGTTCCACAGCTCTAAGTGATTTGATTTAAAGACAACAACAAGAGAACACACTCTACAGTGACAAATAACCCAGCTACCTCAGCCACTCTGTCTCCTGCTTGTACCCCAGCCAGGTCTGGTGGACCATCTTTTGGCAGCCGTGCAATCACGATCCCCTGGTAACACAAAACATAGGTTTCAGAAGTGACAGTTTCTCCCATTGTTCTTAGATGCAAAAAGCAAATGGGAAGCAATTAATTTTCAAGACTTATTGTTCTGTTGCCTCCATAAAAGTAAAAACTAAATGCCTTAGCACATTAGGAAGACAAAAAAAATAAACCTCCACGGCTGACACATAAAACAATGAATAAAAGTCAGTAATTGTTTACACTGTGCCACGGGGAACAGACTGGAAAACAAAGATTTATTTAAAAGATAAATAAGATGTGCAAAATATTTCTTCTAGATCAAGTTAGCTCCTGGGAATAAACAAATGAGATGGGAGAGGCATGTGGATTGCCAAGGGAGTGTTCCCATATTGAGGCAGAAAATCATAATTAAACAACAGTGTTTCAGCCATCAGGTTGACTCTTCAAAATCATTGGTTTACATTTGGGTATCTCTCCCAAATCATCCCTTCTGGAGCTTCCCATCAAAATCTAATGCCAGATCTGGGAAATAAGCTACCTATGTTTACCCTCGTTAGCTTTACAAAGATGGAAATGTTACATGAAAGACAATCTCAGAAAGCAAACAACAAAACACAGTAACTCAAGGAACTACTCATCAGTTTACTCCTAATGATCACTAGATACATTTTGAATAATGAAATGCACCTCATCACTTTCTTTACATGAAGATGAGCCCTTTCCACCAGCAATGCTAATACCAAGACTCCCCATTTGACTGCACACAGTAATGGTTACCTGGAAAAGAATTATAATGGATAAGTGACCTGATTAATCAAAAATATTGCCTATTAATTATATGAGCATTGAAAATCTTCCTCCCATTCTGAACACCAGCAGACATGCCCCTGGAGAGTCCAGGCCAAAGGAAAATGGTGCTACACTTCAACACTGGCACATGCAAAGACTTGCCACCACTGCTTTGAAACCATGGACTGAACGAAGACTCAGCTCAGTGCTCAACTGCACGTACCTTTGACTTGACCTCACAATACCAAAGCTGGATAGACACAGTGAGATGCATGGCTACAAGGAAAGTGGGCCTTGTTGGGGTGTTTTAAAGTTAAATTCTTTTTCCATAGAAGTCATGGGGAGCAATGACAACCATCAGCTTACTCTCTTTGAGGTAAGCCTCATGACATCTGCCATGCAGTGTCCCCCCTTCTTTGCATCTTTTATAAACTGCCTCACCCAAGAGGAGCTCCCCAGAGACACAGGGACTGTCCCACAGACATGCAGAGCCCCCCCAGCAGCAAGCCCAGCCCCTGCAGCAGCTCCAAACCTTCAGTGGGGGCTGTGGCACATCCAGCACCCGCAGCTCCTCCGCGCCCCGGCCGCTCTCGCTGGGGAAGCTGCCTGCTGCTGACACTGGTGGCTGCCCCTTGGGGATAGATCCTGGGAGAGTCTTCCCTTTCATTGCCAGCTTGTGCTTTTCTTGTAGCGTTGCTCTGGTACTTCTTTGATCTCTCATGCTATCATTGCTACCAAAAAGGCTGCCAGAAAACTTGGAAATAGGTTCCTGAGGGTTAAAGATAAAAAAGGTAAACAAAGAAACAGCAAGGAAAATCTGAAACAGAGACCTTACCCGTGCTAAGATGAATTTGTTCCTCACTCTCACATTGCTGTATGATAGAATTTATTTCACTGAAGACAAAACTGGAACTTTCAGGGAGAGGACTGGGATTTGTATAGCCTTTCACTAGATTCTCTGGCACTCACAAGCACGTGTAACACAACATATCCATATGTGCACAAATCCTGCAATGCCCGTGACAATAGCAGAGCATGAGAACAAGACTATTTTGGGCAGCCTCTGCCAGCTCTGCAGCACTGAATCCACTGTTCTGGGGGAAGGAACCACACACACAAGGCAAAGATATTTCTGCACAGAAAATAAAACATTTCTCATAGTTCCTCAAAACTCACATTCCATTTTTGGGAGCATAGGTGTGAGAGGAGAGGGAAGGCAAGCCCCTACCTTACATCTACATATCTAAGACTTCACTTCAGTCTTTCGATTGACTTTAGTTGCAAATGGAAGGAGTGGAGACCTGCAAACTTAAGTGATTTAGGAGTTCTCTGGAAATGGAGCCTCAAAGGTGATGCATACTAAAGCCCACTCTGAAGCCCTGGCTCTAGGGTGAACTTAATTTGAGATGTAGTGGGGAGCTCACAATGTCACCCTATGTTTAGCTAAACCACAAGGGCTTGAAAAGAGAATTACACAATCAAAATACATCCATCCACCTAATAATTAAAGCTTCAGACAAGTTTGACTGCAAAATGTAATGATGTTTTCCAGCTATCAGTTATTCCTGGCAAAGGGTTAAATTAAATTCAGACATGATGCTCAAATTCTGTTCACATCTTAGGAATGCTTTATTTATATTTAGCTGATTTTTGCTCCTTAATTTGATGGGTTAAGGTAAAATAAAATCTTCATATTGCCCAAATCCTTCTATCTTCAGCTGGCAGTAAAAGGATGCAGCAAACACACATCAACATCTCTGAAAATAAACTCCGTAAGTGTTTACCTAAGCTTGGAAGTTTAATACCAAAATAAAAAGCAGTGCCATTACCTTGAACAGCTGTGCAGAACCCCACTGGACACTTTATTTTTCAATCTGTATTGGTGCTTTCCCACAATCTCTTTTTGGTTGGGATTGAAAGAAGCACTGCCAATCCCAGAGAAAGCATATAAGGCATGATTGCTTCCCATTTTCACTTAAAAGGGAATTAGCTTAGCTTTGACTCATATAAAACATTCACTACCTTTCTTCTCTTGAGAGAGATTTCTCTTTGCAGTGCCAGGCTGACTAACCTGGACACACCTGCAGTGCTGTGGCTGCCAGGGAAGAAGGCCATGAGCAAGAGCCAGGACTGTGGATGGAGGAAGGGGCACACCAGCAGCACTCACAGGGGCTAGGAAGTAAGCAGAGGTCCTGGAAAAGGAGCAGGAGCCCAGATTCCTCACTCATATCCCAGCAAACATCAGGAAGAACAGTGAGCAATGCCCTGAAAGGGAAAGGCTGCAAGAGTGCAATCACCACCTGCTTTTCCCAGGCTAGGACCAAGAGGACAGCCAGGCTGCAGCACAGGTGACAGACACCTGGCAGGCTCAGGCTGGAGGAAGTACAGCAGGCAGGGGCCCACTGACATCAGATCCTGGAAGAGCACCACCCAAAATTAACATGCAGTGGAGGAGCACTGCAACCTCACTTTTCTACCATCCAGGCCTAGGGAGGTGCTGAGCTCTGAGTGCTGCTAACAACCTACTTACCCAAAAAAGATGGAGGGAGCTTGGTAACGGGATATAAGTAGGAGTAAAGTAAAAAATGTGTTTCACCATTGCTCAGGTTACTCAAACTGCAGGATGAACCGTAGGCTTGAGGGTTGGATGGATTAATTGGAATAAAACGTTGAACCTAGCTCTGTACAAGCAGGGACATGAGAGTATAAGCAGTGTAGGTCCTACAAATCCAAAGTGCTCTGCTGCACAGCAGCGTGAGCAGCTAAAACCTCCTCATAGATACACTCTGTCTCTCCCAGTTTCAAGACTACTTACATCATCAGGATCCTCGAGTTCCTCTGCTTCTTGCTCAGGACTGATCCTTCCTTCTCTCCATTTTCCATTAGCAGAGCTGAATTTGTACAGGTTACCACCATGAAAACCTTCCTTTCCTTTCAACGAGGCCCAGCGAGAGCCCTGGGAGCTCCAGTTATGGCCACTGTACAGTTTAGGAGACTTGGGAAGCCACTTAATAGAGTCCTGAGAGAAAGAGGACATTAAAAAAAAGGCAATGAATAGATTTTAAGACAGTGATTGAGGTATGTATGCACAGAAGCTGCCTGGCAAGTTCTGTCAGGCATTTTAGATTCTTGCAAATACTTGTTTCCCTTTTTTCCTTTAAAAGTACCTTCAGCCCCACAGAGACACTTTGCCAGTTGATGGGCACTACTGGTGATACAAAGAGCAAGCAAAGGCTGCTGAGAATAGTGGAAACCTTTAAGGACTTATAAGGGCATGGGACCAAGCCTACCTTCAGCATTGTAAGGAAGAATTAATGATCAACAACAGTCTTCAATAAAGTGTACTATTAAGAAAACAAACAAGAGTACTTAGACCTTTAGTGACCATCTCATCCCATGACCGGAGTTAAAAAAATCTATTGAGTCATTCCTCTCTTCATTATTCATTAAATAAAATGTTTCATTTGTTGAATAGTTCCAATAGAAAGCACAACACTTAATTGACCCTGTAAGGATTGCTGATTTACAAAGTGATTATAGTTCAGTTACCCCAAAATGTCCATTACTTATTTGTATCGAAAATACTCCACCTTTCTCACTCAGAAGATTATACATGACAAGTTGTGTCAAAGCTCCCTACATAACTAAATTTCACTGAATTTTAAAACTAATTTTTCAAAGTAACCTTTTTCTTTCTTTGAAGCTTTCTTTAAATCTCACTTCTGCATTTTATTACAGTCATACAAATCCAATGGCAAAAAGCAGCCTGACACCACAAATAAGATACATCAACGGAGAAAATGAGCTTACAAAAAAAATTTTCAACAAGCTTGTGGTGGAGCAGTCAGAAGCACATGGTGACTTTCACATGTTTTAACAGGTATTTGATTCAGATTTAACAGTTCTTTAAGTTTCCATTTTCCTCTTTAAATGCAGAATGGTTATGTTCACAAACACACAGAGATATGCTGCAACACACCAACAACCCAGATGTCACCATCTCTATTAGATCTAAGGTGGATAAAGACAAGGAAATAGGAGAAGACTGTTCATGCTGGACACACTGATTCATCTGCAGCTGCCAAAGAAGGTCATTCCCTTGGGATTCTTCATTTGCTTTCAGTTTTAGGACGGCTGGAAACACTAGGAAATGGAAATGGACAGCATCCCAGCATCTCATTGGAAAACACTGTAGACCTTTCTGTGAGCCTTGAAAAGATGATAACCCCATCACAAGATTATTTGTATTATACAAGGAAGGCGTGATTTGCCTTTTCCTGCAGGAAATTTCCTGTTAAACCACATTTTGAACTGCACTGACACTTGGTGATATTGCTATTTGCTGATAAATAGCCTGATCTCTGATTATTCTAAACCACATTGCTCAGGAAACTGGAGTTGATTGTCAATTTAGTTGATCAATGGGAAAGCAGTACAAACAATCACAACACAGCAGTGGCTCCCTTTCCTCCTGGCAATTCAAAATGCAAGGCAAGATATCTCCAGATATCCTTGAATAAGAAAATGTGATACCCTTAAACAGGCACTCTGCTTTCTGTGAATATTAACTAGGGGGATAGCAATTCTAATTAGACAGATAAACAGCACACTAAGTGAAATTGTTTGCTATTGGCTTGGACTGTGGTATTTCAGAATAACTAATGTGACATTTCTTAATGTTCAGGGTATTTCGAGAGACAGCTTAAATCCTTGACAACTTTTAAGGCCATTAGGAAGTCATAAAGCAATTTCACTCTAAAAATAAATTTGGGTACAGTGAAGCATTTAACTTCTTCCAAGAAAACATCTCATCCTTGTTTGACCCTGATCCCTAATCCTAAACAACAGCTTCTCAAACTCAGCCTGCCAAATTCTGTAAAACCAGTAAAAGTCTATTCTCTCAAAGTAACAGAGATTTCAAATTAGGCTTATGCTGACAATCCCTTCATCATTTTAGGCATACACTCAGCTGCAGTGGCAGCCTCCTGTATGCAAAGGAGCACGGTGATGAACATCAGTACATTTTACATACCTGTGTCCCCTGCAGTTCCGCTGGGAACACAGAGCTACAGGGCACCCCTGCTCCCTGTCTGCCTTCCCCTATGGCAGGGTGCTTTACCTGTTTAACACCTGTAACCCAAGAAAATTTAGTCTTTAATAGTCATGATCTACAGTACTACAAAGTAAAATAGAAACAACAGAACAATTCTAGCAGAGAATTTTCACCAGGTCTACACAGTACTGTGGATAGCATTATTTTTATGAAAGCAGTTTCATGATTTGGTTGTATCAAGAGCAAAAGATGAAACAAAATGAAACAACTAGAAATGCCTTCAAGTCTACATTTGCATGTACCTGCTATATGAAAAACACCACATGAATTATACTTCCACAAAGTAAATGGAGAAACCAAGCTAGTGAATGCCACTGCTGTGAGTGCATGCTAAAATTATTTTGCAAACAAATCTTAGTCATCAATTGTTTTTCACAACTTGATCATTTTTGATGAAAGAAAAGAAAGAGGGGTGGAAATAAGACAGTGAATTAAACCTCTCAGTCTGTTTTTTTTACTGGATTTTTTTCCCTGCCAAAAATAAAACCAATCCCTTATTCTGATGTATTAATGGAAATTGCTTTAGATAGGCAAGAAGCTTCCATTACCCCTCA